GCGTCAACAGAGTTTTTCTGGCCGCGGATCCCGCCGGTAAACAAGCGAGGGGGTGGGGGATGGGGCGCAGAAGATGGCGCCCGGCCCCGCGGCCCCTGCGGTGGTGCCTGCTCGGCTTCAGGCCGGGGATCCCGGGCTTCTGTAGTGGAGGGACATGGCCCGGCTCGGAGGCCCCGTCCCCAGAGGCCCCGGCAATTGGGGTGCCCGCCGCCACTCTGGACCCCACGCCCCAACATGGCTCCCGGGCGCTGTTAACTTGTGAAGGACACATGGGCGCGGAGACCTGGGCCCTCGTCCGCGCGCTGCAGCCCGGGGAGTCGCGGGAGGGCCTCGGCCTGCGTCCTCCTGCCCGGGGACCGGGCACCCGGCGCCGCCGCCTCCCCGGGCCCCGCGCACCCGCCGGCCGCAGGGGCGGGTGGAGAGGGGGCCGGGGAGCCGCACATTCCAGAGGGGAGCGGGGCCCGTCCCACCCCGGTCGCGGGCCTCCTGGAACCCGGGGTCGGTACGCCACGCCGACGGGGCGCGCTCTTGAAAAATGCCAACGCCGCCGGCAAACCCCGGGCAAATCGGAATAATTTTTTATTAGCAGCTAAATGATTTATGGCACACATACCCCGCCGTCACAATTACGGCGTCTTAGCGCATCCAGGGGTGACAACATTAAACATTTATAAAATCGGGCCTTTGTTTTTTTCCAACCCCGCAAGCCTTTAGCACGGTCCCCCCCCCACCCCGCCCCGGCTCTCTCCAGATACATATTTTTCCTTGAGCTGTATTAAAATAAGAAAAACATTCTGGATCCCGGGGGGGATGAGGGGGGTTGGGGAGTCCGGGCCTTCGTTCTGAACACCGGGAGGGCGCAGGGGGTGGGGGGAAGCGAGAGACTGAGGCGTGGGAGGGTTGAACTGGGAGCCCACAAAGGCCTCCAAGAAGACTCAAGGGCACTGGGAGACCCCCCCCAGCCGGAGTCTCTCTCGTCTCCCGCAGCCCGCGCAGCTTCGCGGCGTTTATTTCTTGAAAGCACCCCCACCCCAAGGCGCACACACACAATACCTCCTTTCTCTAACCCCCCTCTCTCCGTCTTTGCTCCTGGCCGTGCCCGGACAGCGCCGGGCGCCTCTGGCCGCCCCCAGCCGCCACCGAGACCCGCACGGCCGGCTCCGAGAGCGCGCGGACACCGCCGCTCGCTTCCCCTCGGCTCCGGCTATTCTCGTTCTTTTCTCTCCTCACTCCTCCCTCCTCCCCACGCCAAGCTCCAGCTTCCAAAAGAGGGCAGCCTAGAAACCGGCGCAGGAAGCTCCCCAGGAAGGGCAACTTGAAACTGCCCTCAAGAGGCCGAATTTTTTTTTTTTCCCTTCAAATTTATCCTGGAATTAAATTAGACACCCCCAGTTCTCTATCGACTCTTCCCCCCTCTTTTTTTTTTCTTTCTAAAAGTGGAGAAAAGAAAATAGAACGGATGAGCGCTAACTAGCTCATTAAAAAAAAAAAAAAAAAAGCCCTCAGAAAAATTGCCTTAAAAATGGATTTTCTTAAGAAAAAAAAAATAGCAGTGCGAAAACGCTGAGTCCGCAAAGCAGGGCGAAAGAGCGGGCTTCTTTTGTTTTAATTAAAACCCTATAACCGCGGTGGCTCTCCAGGCAGGATCTGCAAGGCTCTGCCTTTCCAAGCTTCCTTTCCAGGGTAGGTAAAGCCTAGCTGGGCTGGGGCTCCGGTCGGGTTCGCGGAGAGGGTGCGGGGACCCCTCCCTCCTTTAGGACCCGTGGCCCTGCGTCCCCGGCCAGGTAGCTCTGCTGTCCGCAGCTCCCGGCTACTCAACCCCGAAAGTTTTTTTTTTTTTTTTTTTGCTGAAAGAGCAAAATAAAAGTACAAAGTCTGGGGGGTTGGGGCTCCCCTCCCCCTCCGGCCGCCGTGGCCAGCCAAGCACTTTTGGGCTTGGCTTGCTTCCTCTGAGCTCAACAGATTTTTTTTTCCTCCCCCTTTCCCGGTCTCGCCCTCCCTGGAGGGGGCGCGGCGGATGGAAGGCGAGAGAGGCCCCCAGCCAAGAGGTTTTTAATATTACACCTTAATAGGTTTCAGAAGGCCCCGTGGAGAAATGCTAATAAGGGCTGAAATGTCAGAACCGAGAGGGATTCAGCCTGCGCTGCGCCGACCTAATCCTTTTTTCTGCTCCGGCTTTTCTTGGGGAGGGGCGGCGTGGCGGGGAGGAGGGCGCCCACGCCGGGGGCTCCGGGACGGGGCGCGCGGGGCGCCTCGGCCGCAGCCCGGGCTCCTAGAGGAACCCTTCCTCCCAAGAGGCCACGCACCGCCGCCGGCCGCCGCGGCCTGTCCCAAACACTGACCCCTAAAGCCTCCTCACGCCGCCTCTCAGGGAGGGGCGAAGGGAGAAAAACCCCCAGGAAGGCCTCGTCGCCTGCCCACCCCACCCGACCGCGACTGCTGGGGGGCGGGGGGGACGGGGAATGAATCGCTGCTTTATTTTAAGAGAGAGAGAGGGGAAAATAAGAAGCAGGCCTGGTCGTTTGGGCGTCTGAACCGCGCTCTCTGGAGCGGCGACCTGGAGAGGGAGCGCGGGGCGCGGGCGCGGGGCGTCTCGGCCCGGCGGCTCCCGACCCTCCCCGGCCGGCCAGGCTCGCCACCTCCTCCCGCAGGAGGAAGCTGACGGGAGGCCTCGCCCGGCCCGCGATCGCGGCGACGACCATCTTCCTCTATTTTGATCGCTCGGCCCAGACGCGGGAGGAGGGGCTGGGATTGGTGGGGGAGGAGGACGGAGGGAGGGAGGGAGGAGAGGGGGGGGGTCTGCCGGAGCCGGGGAGGGGGAGGGCTGCCTAGAAACGGCTCGGAAAAATTCTCACCACCGGTTTGGATCATTCAGCCCCGCCGCGGGGAGCCTGGAAACCGCCGGAGCCCCGAGCTCCGTAATTGGTTTTATAGGAATGGCTGAGGGCCAAGGTGTTTACATGCGCGTGATGGGCGGCGCGCGGGGCCAATGCGCGGCGGCCGGGGGCTGGCCCGCGGGGGGGCGGGCGCCCGGGAACAATGCGTGTTTCTTCGCCTGCGAGGCTCCCCTCCCCC